TTAGTGTAATTGTGGTTTCACATTTTGGTTCCATAGAAACAAGAGGAAAAGATGGTCTGCACGATGATGACATAACAAAGATTTTCCTCCTCATTTGTAAAATACGGAGGAAATAATGACTTTTTTCCAGTCTTAAACTCAGTAATTGCTTAAACATTTCCTCTACAGATCCATATGTGGACACGAGCCAAGCGACAGGCTTTTGGCACGCTTCAAGCCACATTTGAGAATTTCCTAACTCACTCGGAGGTGTTGCTTAATCACAATTACTGGCTGCCTGAAGAGCCCTGTGTGAAGAAAAGGCCCCATTGAGTTTAGCTGAACAAAGTAGAGACCACTTGGGTGTCCTTTAGCTGCTGATAGGGATGTGGATCAGTGATTTCTGACATAAAAGCCCCCAAAAAGGGCTGTAAATAAAAACAATAAAACTGTAAACAGGCTTAATGATGCAGTCGGTCTACCATTCATATTTTCCATTAGATTTGCTCTCTTATTTTCACAATGCTAACAATCTCATTGCAAGAGGCTCTGTAAGGCTGAACCTAGCCCTGTTGTCTTTAGAGCTGAATGCTAACGTAAGCATGCTAAAATGCACAACATGCTAGGGTTAGCATGTGTAATGTAACCACGTTTTAATCTTAGTTTAGCACGTTAGCCGGGTAACTACTGCTAAAAAATATGTCCACAGTAGCCTACTAGGGCTAATGGGAATGTCAATATATTTACAGGTAATTATTAAAAAGCCAACAATAAGGACATTTCGGAGAGACATGAGTACCAAATTCCAATGGCAGGCCATCCAATATTATCATTGTCTTACTAGGCTAGGATAGCATGCTAACTTAAAATAGCTACAATAGCTCTACGCAACTGCATAAATCATAAGACTGGAAAATGACCTTAATTACTAGATTAATGTTTATAATGTGCTTGGTTAATAACAGACTGCAAGAGGCAGAAACCGCATCACGTGTTTTTACATGTGCACTGCTCGGTTGCCAAATATCTATAAGTTCCTGTAAGAGTCTAAAATATGCAAGGCAACAATGAGAGCAAACAATCATTGCATCATCTTCCCTTTATCCATCGGCCATCTCTCCACTCAGCTTATTCTAAAGAACTGACAGACCACTGCAATGCTTTCACGACAGGGCAGCAGAGATGCAACCTAAAACAAACCATAATTATTTGTGGTCCTGCTTCAGGCAAATAAGAACATAATACAAAAGCACACACACGATGTTTGGAGTTCCAGTAAGTTCCACATCCACAGTTTGGTCTCCAGGGGATACTGGGTTCCTCTTAGTTGAACTTCTTCAACTTTTTACTGAATGACACACGTGCACTCCCTCACATGCACTAAATGTAACTCCATCTGGTTCCAGACCTCAACAGGACAGTTTTCCTCGCCTGCCTGCTGAGAGCCTGGCCGGAGCCTTTTCTCCTAGACACTCATACTTTCTGTTTCCACAGCCGTGCGGCCCGTGCGCATGCTGACCCAAGAATGTGGACAGCACTCCAGTACATTGTTTAACAAGGCTGAGCAGCATGTCAGAGATGGGAAATGTAGACTGTTGCTTGTTTTTTGGGGAGGAAATCAACTGTTTCCTTCAGTGAAATACATGCAATGTGGAGTGCATCCATTCTGGTTTTGAGGGATCCACTCTTGGGTCTTAAAGGGACAGTAGGGACCATTGTCTAGCTACAAAACTTCCCCACCCAGTGTTTTGTCTTTTAGTACATGCATGCTTCCTTCTATGCGGTGATATGGGTAACAGATTTTACATATCAAAGTCTGTTTTTAGGTCTTACTGAATATGTGAGAAAAGCTGTAGGCCTACAAAGGCTCTTGTGGCTAGAGCTGTTTAAAATATGATAAATTGATCACTTGAATCAGAGGCCTTAAGGGTGAAGACTTCAAGTTGGAGAATTCATGTAACATTTCTTGCAAATAATGGTGTTTAAAATTGGAACTTGATATTTACTGACACATTTCTATTCATTATTTTGACAAATGCAGATCTGTAGTTATTTAGCATCATTATAAAAATACGTTTTGTTTTAAAGGTGACATGTCATGCGTGCGGAGTCAAAACCCGTGTGCGGAGTCAAAACCCGTGTGCGGAGTCAAAACCCGTGTGCGGAGTCAAAACCCTCAAAGTACACCATGTAGGGAGTACAACTCTAACACATAAAATACCTCCCCAAAACGCCTCGTTGGAGATACGTCACTGTCCATTTGATTCTTCCGGGTACATCATGATGTCATGTCGTCCCCGGAACGAAATGGACCAATCCGTGGAGCCGTTACGTTACGTCCGCGGAGCCGTTACGATAAGCCCCCGCTGATTGGTCCAAATTGACCAATCCACGGACTTCCTCACACACTCAGTGCAAGCAGCTCTGCTGATTTCTCCTCCCTTGCTGCAGGCTGATAACAGACAGTTGGAATCGCGGCGAAATTCTCTCTGCAGACCCATTCTCTCTGCAGACCCATTCTCTCTGCAGACCCATTCTCACAGCGTTTATCAACATTTTTCTTACTCAATATCAAGCCACACTTATTGTTTTTACTTCGGCTGTGACTTTGTGTGTGCTCAGCTGTGTTTCGCTGTGTATCGCTAAACAAGGAAATCACACCTCCACGGAGCTCTGCGCGATTCACAACGTCCCGACTGGTCCCGACCAATCGGAGCACACTGGGCTCACAGGGAGGGGGGAGGGGGGGGGGGGGGGGGGGGCAAGAGCTGCAACGAGCCGTTTAGTGGAGAGTGAATACTGCTGAATACACATAGGCCTACTTTACAGAGATGCTGTATGAGAAACCAATGTGATTTTGGAACATTGAACAATGTAAATCTATTCTAGTATACCTCAACAATGGAATGATGATCAGTGGAAATGGCCATGACATGTGACCTTTTTGTATTGATGTTGGAGTCCTTTTTAGCTATGGGTTTACTTATCTCTCTCCAACAACTAGCCTATATGTTGTTTTTATGCTGTCTTGTATTTCCCTATGATTTACACCATGACATTTATCTTTAAGAGGGTAAAGTATTACAAAACTTTTGATCCATAAAACTAGGTAATAAAACATCTGCATCAAGGTTATGAGTTACTGCATCGCCCCTTACTTTGATGTTTGCAGCTCACTGAGTGTTGGCACAGAAAACCTCCTTAACGGTAACACTTCAAATGTCTTTACTTCAAATAGAAATGAATGCCACATTTCCCTGTCTTCAATTACAGAGTGTGTCATAAGGAGGCTGTCCATAATTCTTCTTCACTTGTTATTTTCAGTTTTATTCTCCACACTTGATTTGAGAGAGGCGTTCGCCCTGCTCGTATATTACATCCCGCCCCTTTCCCGAAAGCCCTCTGCTGTTACTCCAACCCCGTGGCCTGTCTGTCAACCCTTGTTCCCATGGCAATTAGTTAGAAAACCTGCCCAATTATCTGGGGCTCTCGAACGCCCAGCAAACAAGCGACGATGTGCCACCATTATCCACCAAAAAACGCCTCTATAGCTGGGGGAGATTTGTGTGATGGGTTAATAGTAGGATAGTAAAAGTGCTGCAGACAGAGGCAACATTGTGAGTTCATATAGTTTATAGTGTGCTCTGACCCTATTGAATGTTTTATAGTAAGGGTGTCTATCTACATATCCAGCTGAATGGGACGAGGCCACAAAGAGAGGACAAAGCATTAAAGCCCGTTGCGGTCCCGCTTCTGAAAAGACAGGCGTAAGGAGCGGGTTTGAAACCAAATGTCATGGTGTCACAGTGATTCAAAAAGCTGAGAGCCATGCTGCACAACCTGTTACATACTTTGCCAGGCCAAGCAACAGAGATTGAGTGTCTCTCTATTCTGTGTGTAGGTGACGCGTCCCCTCAAGAATGTGGTTCTCTTCCTCTCGCCGTTCGCTTCAATTTCCCCTCTTACTTCACTCACTGTCGCTTGAGGAATCTGGAAAACACCAGCGGGGAATGAGAGGAATTTCAGCTTTTCGTTTTTTCCCTTAACCACCCCCTCACCCTCTTTACTTTGGACGCCTCTGCACAGCCGGGCTCTTGAGTTTTCTCTTGTTTCTGAATGCGGCCCAACAATAACAACCTCTCATAAACAATGGGGCTTGTTGATTGGGGGGTTGAGAAGGAGAGTGGCCCTCGGAGTATGTTCTGCTGGCACTAGGCCGCGCGAGCGATACTAAACGTCCAAACGGCTGCATCCAAAGATTTTAGGGCAAGTTTTTAAAAAAAACGCACCATCTCTGAAGGACCATAAACACATGCTTTAGTTCTTTCTTAATCTATCTTTCCTCCAAACAGGACTTTGATGGACCAAACGCTGAAAGGGGTTGCTGGTCAATGTCAGGAAACCACAAAAGTACAGGGGAAAACAAAGTGGAATTCTCTGCTTTTACAGCACCCGTGGACTCGTAAAGGGAGTCTGGATCACATCGGGTAGGATTGTGAACAAGACGACCACGGATCTCTGCCCCGTCTTTTTCAGCCTATGGGCAAAACACAGCTTCAGTCACATGCCAGTTAAACAGCCGAGCAACAGTTATACCCAGTGTTTGTGACATAAATCAGAATAGTGATGTGTCCTGGAATAACTCTGACTCTTCTATTTCCATTTTGGAAGATGATACCGCACAATACAGGATATTGTCCCTCATGTGTTGAACCACTTTTATATCAACTAAATCAAAATAAAATTTCAAAGGACATTCTTTGGAAAAGGATGGCTAAACAAATCACTGTCTTTTGTAATTTTTTAGAGGCCGCATACCAAAGTTAAGCTTTTGGAAATAGAGAAGTTTTTCCAAAATATCTCAGATGTACAAACAAAATATAACAGTCCAGAGGCTTTTGTTGCAACACACAGGTGTGGAGCTCCCCCTTGTGGACAAAATGATAATTAGCAGCAGTTTATTCTAGTTGTTGGTACATTTGGATAATGAGTCAAATGTGAAAGAAAGTCATATAAATATGTTTCTGTTATAATTCAACTTTATTCATAGGATTTAAGGAGTCACAACCAGAAATAAACACACTCTGGAAATCATTCATTCGCACACCAAGCACTCAACAAACAGGCGTTCTCTGTTCAACATCAGCATCAGTGTCCATGGAATGGGTTAGATGCCACTGGTCGTCATTTCCCTGCAGGCTTGAATGGATCGGACCAAACCTTCATACCTTAAGAGAAAAATTAAACATCTACAGGTTCAGAAAGGCATAATAATAAAAATAATAATCATCTATTAATGATAATATTCAAAAAAATTCAACACTAAGTGCTTTTAAAATCTGATTTCCAATTACCAAATATATGTTCTCCATACAGTACTAAAAGACTATCAAAATGGTGCTAATATTGTAAATCCCATCTGGAGCTCCCTACAGAACTGCATTGAGACGGTCAACCTTTGTTTGACAGACATATACCTGACAAGTCTCGCAATGTAAATCACGTTAATATTCAACTAAAGAAAGTCCAATACTTTCTGACTGATTGTAAAAAAAAAGATTTTTATAAAACAGCACTTTTTTGCGGCATTTCCACATAAACAATATTCATTGAGTATAACAAATATACCTGTTGTGTGGACCAAGTTCATAAATCTACTATGTGCTCTTACCCGCGGGTTGAATGTCTGCCTGGTTGACTCCTGCCCGGTTCGTCTTCTGAACATCTCCTAGCAAAGACAGAACGGTACAGTATTGTCAGAAGATTTCGTGGTCAAAATCAATGCCATAAACAAAAAAATAAACATTTGCAGCTTCATTGTTCCCTTCTGTCTGCTACACTGTAATAAAAGTATAAACTGTTTGTGCCGACTTTCCATCTGTGCTGGCCAAAACTGGATCAAAAATAAAAAGACTGTCCAATAAGATGAGTGGCAGAACAAAGACATTCAATAAAACCACCAACATTTCAGCTAAATGAATTTTCCTGGCATCATTCTACTTTGTTCTTTGTTGTGTTTACTGTTTAGGAAAAGTGGAAAGTAACCTCTGGGTGTCCAGTTAGAAAACTCATATTGCATGCTTACAAGTCTGTGGAAACCCCTTTTAACTCTGTCCACATTTAATTTAACAGTAAATGTCAATACTAATATGTTTTGGGAACATAAAACCATTACTTCATTATGTTAAATTAAAGTGCCATATAGCAGGTTAGCTGACTAGCTGGCTAACTAAATATTTAAAGATGCAAAGGTTTTATTGTCACATGCACAGCTACAGTGTAGTGATGGCAATTATAATTTTAAGTATATATATATAAGTCATAAAACAATACAAAAATAGAGCAAGAAAACACAGTTTAGATCATTAGCAATAAAATAGTCCAAGAAAATGTTGCAAATTAACAATGTGCAATAAATAAATAGACTAAGATAGACTAAAAACAGCATGTTAAATCAAATACTCTAGTGGAATAAAATACTGCTTATTGTAAAAATAATAAAATGTGAGTTACAAACATGAATAAGTTATGGAGACACTCAGACGTTTAGCAGTCTAAGCTAATAGCTTAGTTTATTTGAGTAAAGCAAAACGTAGTTTAGCTGTGTTTACAAAGAATATGTACAATGCTTACATGTTTATTGCAACAACACACTTAAGGACACTAGTTAGGTGTCTGGTTTTGTAACCGTATTTTTATAAAAAGCCACTTACTGTACACATGGTTATGCGCCATTGGGTAGACAAATATCGGGTAAAACGCGGCGGCAATTGCTGTTAGAAAGCCCCCAAATATCAACGCTATTCTCGCATTTTTTGACATTTTAATCTACCATTTGGTGGTCCTCTCACCTCCAAGTGCAAGCAGTGTTTACAATTATTACTTCCGGTGTAAAGGTTACGCAAACCACGCTTTAGGGGGGAAAAGCGGCGTCAAGCTCTTTTGGTTCTTCTGGGCTGCCGTCGTCAGAGTCACATGCTGCAGCACAACAATAATAAGGAAGTGTGGGAGAAGAACTGTAAAGTTATTTAATTTCTTCTTTCATGGGCTTAAAACGATGAGCTTTTTGTCCGTTTTGGTGTTTTTTCTATGCTGCTGTTACTCAGCGGGAGAAAACGAGCCAATTCAAACCTTTGTAATCCCTCACAGTCACATGGATGTTGGCTGGGTTTACACTATTAAGGTAGGTTTCTATCACCATTTTCTCTACAAAAAGGGTTAAACTTGATGTACCTCGTGCTGTTTGAATATGCCCCCCCTCCAAAACACTGTTAACCCTTAATGTGGATGATTGTGTGTATTTTGCGCTAAAGATAATGTGTATTTTCCATAGGAGAGTATGCACGCCTATGCAGGTAATGTGTACACCAGTGTGACTGAGGAGCTGTCAAAAGACAAGGATCGCAGGTTCATCGCTGTGGAGCAGGAGTTCTTTCGACTGTGGTGGGATAATGTGGCCACAGACACTCATAAGAAACAAGTAATGATGGGTTTACACTTTGTTCTGATGTAAAACAATGCAAAATTGTCTCAAAATGTGTCTTAAAGGGACTTTCTTGTGTGGAATTTTATAATGTGTGGGGATTTGAATGAGACGGGTGACAAAAAGAGTGCATCGGGTGCTGACCTTAAAATTCAGAGTAAATGTTTAACCCATCATGCCTTGTGATTTCTAGGTGCGACAGCTCGTAAAGGAGGGTCGGCTTGAGTTCATCCTCGGGGGCCAAGTGATGCATGACGAGGCCGTAACCGATCTAGACGACGAGATACTACAAATGACAGGTAGTGCATCACATATCCTGCCCCTGTAAATGTCATCTTGAGAGAAGAGATATGTAGTTGACCTGTTTCTCTGTGGTGCTTCAGAGGGACACGGTTTCCTTTACGAGACGTTCGGGGTGCGTCCTCAGTTTTCCTGGCACGTGGATCCATTTGGAGCCTCTGCCACCACGCCGGTCCTCTTCGCCTTGGCTGGGTTCAACGCCCACCTCATCTCTCGCATCGACTATGACCTAAAAGACACCATGCAGAAAGACAAGGTATTAGTAGATGCATCAGCACAATTACTACTGATGGCAATACTTTCAAAAAAATCACATATTGTACAACAGAAGTGGCAGTTTGCACACTTTTACATTGTCAATCAGCATGTTTATTTGTCTATCTTTTGTTACAGAAACTACAGTTTGTATGGAGAGGATCCCCCTCTCTTAAGGAGAAGCAGCAGATCTTCACACACACTATGGACCAGTTTAGCTACTGCACCCCATCCAACCTGCCATTTTCCAACAGGTAGTCCATGTTTATATGATGTATTAATGACAGACAGACAGACGTGCCCTGAACTCTCTACCTACATTTCACCTAATTTATATTTTGATATTTCTAAATTGAGTATTATTAAATGCACAAACTGGAGTTTTTTCACCATTTTCTTACGTCTCAGCTCTGGTTTCTATTGGAACGGAGTCGCCTTGTTCCCCGATCCCCCTAAAAACGGAGTTTACCCCAACATGAGCCTGCCCGTCACCAAGGAAACGATACACGCCTACGCCAAGACAATGGTGGATAACATCAAGCAACGTGCGGCGTGGTTTAGGACGAACCATGTGCTCTGGCCATGGGTGAGAAAGTTGTGAATCTGTGTAATAGCATGAGTTTTTACATGATTAGAATATTTATATAACATAGAACTACAATCTTGAGCTTTATTCTCGTGTTTCAGGGCTGCGACAAACAGTTCTACAACTCATCGGTGCAGTTCAACAACATGGATCCTCTAATGAAGTACATCAACCAGAACAGCAAAGAGTTTGGGGTGACGGTTCAGTACGCCACTCTCAGTGAATACTTCCAAGCCATCCACCAATCAGATGTTGTCTGGGAGCTCCGTGGAAGTGAAGATTTCCTACCATATTCCACTGGTGAGAATCTGTATCCTCACGTCAAAAGACAAAACAAACACATTTTTCTTATTTAAATATAATTTACCCTGGCTGATTTATTTCCTAGAGCCGCACCAGGCGTGGACAGGGTTTTACGCCTCCAGGAATGTTCTGAAAGGAGTCGCACGACGGGCCAGCTCCCAGCTGCATGCAGCGGAGACTCTGTTCACCCGGTACCGGATCAGTTTCCCTGACGGACCTGTAGCTAAAGACTGGGCTCTGGAGAAACTGAGGGCGCTTCGCTGGGCTGTGTCAGAGGTGATGTGTAAAAATACGTTTCCCCTTATACAGAAAATAAAGCAAAGTCACGCCGAAATACGTGACAGGGTTTCGAAATGTGGTTTGTTATTCGCAATTCTTAAGCCAATTTTAAGGTTTATTTAAAATGTCCACTTTGTGTGCTTAGATAATCCCATATTTTATAATCATGTCAAACCAGGTTTATGGTGCGCTTCATTTGCTCACCTGTCAATGCCATCATAGCCCCTCTATTTGCCCTTATTTCAGGGGGAACATGGAGGAAGGGAGTCGGCAAATGTGCATAAAAGTGGCTCAATTAAATAGGAATAACATTTAAAAATATTAACTTGTCCGTAAGGGATTTTCATCGGCACTGGTGATTGTTTAACAGTAAGGACTACAACTCCCAAGATCCTAAGATGCTTCACAACATCGTCAAAGTCTACCTTTTGATATTGATTGGATTGAGAGACCTCTACAACAGAAATGACTTTGAAACTGGCGTGTGTTTCTCTAGGTCCAGCACCATGATGGCATCACTGGCACCGAGTCTCCCAAGGTGGCGGACATGTACATGCAGCATCTGACGCAAGGCATGATGGGAGTGGACGAGCTTCTGGCTGCGCTCTTCCTGCTGCCCCACAGCCTCGAAACACCCGGCATCCTCAGCAGCCGCTACCACAAGAAAGGTGTTGACATTTGCTAGCTCACATTAGCATGCACTCATATTCAGCTACATGCTAATACTAGCTGTCATTCTCAACAGGTGTTCATCACGCTTTGGAGCAACATGTGATCGTTTACAACCCGTTAGCTTGGAACATCACCACCATCATCAAGGTCACCGTAGCCTTCCCTAATGCAGCTGTATTGGATGATGATGGACAACTAGTGCCAGCCCAGGTTAATGTTGTTTTTATTATAACGTTTTAATAATCTCCAAAGAAGAACTAGGAAACTATTGATGGACTGGGTGAAATGCAGCAGTTACAGGATAATGATAAGAGATGTAATAGTACAGAGAATCCATTCTGTTCTCCGTGTGTTACAGATCCAGAGGTCGGCACAATCCAATGTGACCTACGACCTTTTCATCGTGGTGGATCTCGGAGGCCTTCAGCACAGAAAATACTTGGTTAAATTATCTGAGGAGAAATGCTCCGGGAGGTGCAAGTGTGGCCGGACGTACAAAGCTAAAGGAGTTCAGTTTGAGAGACGCTTCACCCGGGACTCATGGGAAATAGGGAGGAGGCTGCTGCCTGTTCTGAGTGGATGCTACGAGCTGATGTTTGACCAGGATACTAACCTACTGCACAGCATCACGCATCTGTAAGAGAGTGTTGCACCACATGCAGAAATACTGAAATATTTGCACTAAAAACAGGGAGTAGTTTACGTATTATTACAGAAAATACATTTGTAATGGATTGTTTTTCAAGCATATGGTTCAAATGTCTCTTAGCCAGTCAACTGAATAATACATTTTGAATTTGGACATTTGTGCAAAACAAGCCATTTTAAATGTTAATCTGCGTTTTTAGAATTTGTAATGACTAATTTGCTTAAATTGCAACTATCCTGTCTAAATCCCATTTCTGTGTCTCATACAAATGCCAGTGTAGCTCTCTGACCTTTTGACCTGTGTGTCATCCTTGGCAGTCAAGATAAAAGGAGAGTAATGATGACTCAGGATTTCTGGGAATACCAGGCCAATGGAGACGTGAAAGCCGGGCCCATCTCTGACAATTACATCTTCAGCGCTAACGGCTCAGCTGTTCGGTCCTACAGGGCGGTGGAGATGGAGATCATCCCCGGGAAGATCGTCACGGAGATCAGGCAGTACTTCTACAGGTAACATCAACCTTCATTAGTGCAGTAAATCCATCCTAATGTGGTATTTCATCTTTTCAGTTAAAGGTCCCCTATTATACTGTTTTTCATCAATATATCACAGGTCTCAGATATATACAAACATGTGTCTGAAGTGTTTGGCTCCAAACACCAAACAGATCATTGCAGCATCCCATAATCCCCTCTGTTACAGCTCTGTTTCCAAAGTGCTGATTCTCTGTCTGTTACTTTAGATGAAAATAAGGAGCCCCTCCCCACGCCCCTCTGAGAGATATTTGGTTAGAAAGAACACAATGGTGCTCTAGGAGGAGATTCAGGTGATAAGGTGGGGGGGGGGGGGGGGTTACCTTGGTTGCTGATTGGCTAATGGTTACACAAGACAAAACATCGTTATGACATCATAAAGTGGCCAAAATCTGATCAGCTCATTTTCAGACAGGTTTTTATAGAAATGGATCAGGACAAAAAGAGAGAGAATCTTTTTTCTGAAACTTTCAGAATCTCTTTCCACAGAGGGGACACATGTTGATGTAGAAGAGACATGAAGAAGAGGGGACACATGTTGATGTATAAAAGACATGGAGAAGAGGGGACACATGTTGATGTATAAAAGACATGAAGAAGAGGGGACACATGTTGATGTAGAAGAGACATGAAGAAGAGGGGACACATGTTGATGTAGAAGAGACATGAAGAAGAGGGGACACATGTTGATGTATGACAGACATGGAGAAGAGGGGACACATGTTGATGTAGAAGAGACATGAAGAAGAGGGGACACATGTTGATGTAGAAGAGACATGGAGAAGAGGGGACACATGTTGATGTAGAAGAGACATGAAGAAGAGGGGACACATGT